CGGAGAAGTGGTGTGTCGGTGCGCGCCCGGGATCTGAACCCTGGCCGCCAGCAGCTGAGCGCGAGCACGTAACCGCTAAGCCACGGGGCCGGCCCTATCTAATTTTAAAACATTTCCATCCTTCCCTAAAAGAAAGCCTGTACCCATACACATGGATACTCCTGTATCCATGTTGTAGCATAAGTCAGTACTTTATTCCTTTATACTATTGAATAGTATTCCATTGAATGGATATGCCACATTTTCCAAAGTGGCTGCACCATTTTGCATTCCTACCAGCAGTGTATGGGGGTGCCAGTTTCTCCACATCCTAGTCAACACTTGTTATTATTTGAATTTTTGTTTCTAGCCATTCTAGTGGGCATGAAGTGGCATCTCATTATGATTTGGATTTGCATTTCCCTGCTGATTAATGATGTTGAGCATCTTTTCATGTGTTTGTTGGCCATTTGTATATCTTCTTTGGAGAAATGTCTATTGAGATCCTTTGCCCATTTTTTAATTGGGTTATTCATCTTTTTATTATTGAATTGTAAGAGTTTCTTATGTATTCTGGATACATGTCCCTTATCAGATGTATAATTTGCAAGTATTTTCTCCCATTATGTGGGTTGTCTTTTCACTTCTTGCTAGTATCCTTTGAAGCACAAAAGTTTTTAATTTTGATGAAATCCATTTGTTTTTTTCTTTTGTTGCTTAAGCTTTTGGTGTCATATCTAAGAATCCATTGCCAAATTAAGGTCATGAAGATATACCCCTATGTTTTCTTCTAAGAGTTTAAGCTCTTATATTTAGGTCTTTGATCCATTTTGAGTTAGTTTTTATACATGGTATTAGATAAGAGTCCAACGTCATTCTTTTGCATGTGGCTGTCCAGTTGTCCCAGCAACACTTGTCGAAAAATCTATTCTTTCCCCGTTGAATGGTCTTGGCACCCTTGTTGCAAATCAATTAACCATAGACAGATGGATTTATTTCTGGATTCTCAATTCTATTCCATTGGTCTATATGTCTATCCTTATGCCAGTACTACACTGTCTTGATCACTGTAGCTTTGTAGTAAGTTTTGAAATTAGCAAATGTGAGTCCTCCAACTTTGTTCTTCTTTTTCAAGATTGTTTTGGATATTTGCGGCCCCTTACATTTCACTATGAATTTTAAGATCAGTTTATCCATTTCTGAAAAAAAAATTGTTCTAAGGAAGCTTGAATTTCAATAGGGATTGCAATAAATCTGTAGATCAATTTGTGGAGTATTGCCATCTTGACAACGTTGTTCTTCCAAGCCATGAACATAGGTTGTCTTTCCATTTATTTAGGTCTTCTTTAATTTCTTTCACCAGTGTTTTATAGTTTTCAGAGTATAAGTTTTACATGCCTTTTGTTAAATTTATTCCTAAGTATTTTACTCTTTTTGATGCTATTGTAAATGGAAGTGTTTTCTTAATTTCATTCTCGGATTGTTCATTGCACGTATATAGAAATACAATTAATTTTTGTATATTGATCTTATATCCTGCAACCTTGCTGAACTTGTTTATTAGTTCTAGTAGTTTTTAATGGATTCCTTAGGAGTTTTACACACAAGATCAAGTCATCTGTGATAATTTCACTTCTTCCTGTCTAATATGGATGCCTTTTATTTCATTTTCTTACCTAATTTCCCTGGTTAGAACCCCCAGTACAATGTCGAATAGAAGTGAGAAGAGCAGACATCCTTGTCTTGTTCCTGATCTGAGAGAAAAAACATCCAGTCTTTCATCATTAAGTATGATATTAGCTGTGGGTTTCTCACAGATGTCCTCTGTCAAGGTTGAGTGTATTTAACATGAAAGTGTGTTGGATTTTATAAATGCTTTTCCTGCACCTATTGAAATGACCATGTATTTTTTGTTTTTATTTTATTGATATGGTGTATTACATTAATTGATTTTCATATATTAAAGTAACCTTGCATTCCTTGCAAATCCTACTTGGTCATAGTGTATAATTGTTTTTATATGTTGCCGGATTGAGATTGCTAGTATTTTACTGAGGATTTTTGCATCTATACTCATAAGAGATATTGGTCTGTAGCTTTCTTTTCTTGTAACGTCTTTGGTTGACACTTTTAAAAGGTAAAATATATTCCCACATCCCGAAAGGAGTCTCTTGTGCCTTTAAGCCTTTCATTTGTTTCTTACTTTCCTCTGATTTGTCTTAACACAAATAATTGTCATCAACCTAGCTCCATTCCCAATAAGAAGGTGTTTCTATATGGATTTAGCAAGCTAAGGGGTAGGGGTTGGGGTGTGGTGGGTACATAAGATGACTTTGAAAATAGGACAGATGTATCGCAGAGCTCTTATATGAAAGAGAAAAAGACCTGGTGAATGAAAGTCTCCAGCATCTAGGCAGATATTTGATATTTTAAAACAAATCAAAACAAAAACACTAGAGAGAAATTTGGGTGTGAAAGATGTTTTATAACTCTCACCTTAGTCATAGCAAGACTCATGGTCTTCCCTGCCATTATACAGGTCACCGCTATTGAATAGTACACTTTAAATTGGTGAATTGTATGGTATGTAAACCATATCTCAATAAAGCTATTAAATAAAAAAGACATGTATTGATCATTTAAAAAATCAAAATTATACAGAAGTACATAAAGTAGAAGATGAAAATCCCCCTCTTGTCCCTAGGGCCATTCCTCAGAGGGAACTACCGCTTACAATTTGGTGGATATCCTTCTAGACTTTTTTCTATGAACATAAACTATATATGTATGCAATATATGTGTATATATTGAATGGGACCATACTATTCTTTATTTTTTCACTTAATATCTCATGGACAACTTTCTATGTCAGCATGTATGCATCCTTGCCCTTCTTTTGAGGTGTCTATGGTAGGCCATATTCTGTATATACATGTGTCTTTGGTTCCTATGGCCCTTGGGCTGCTTTTACAAGACCTTTTCATTCCTGTCCAGAGCGAAGTGCAGCATGGGGATCAAAGCCCTCTCCCATGACAGCATCTTCATGTTGGAGCCTGAGCCTGAAAGATCAGCAAGAAAATTATACCCCTCTCCGGAGCCCCAGAGAGGCAGACCTCTGCAGGTAACAGTGAACTCGAGCATCTGTGCCTGACTGGACTACTCTTCTTCCACTCCCTGCTCCTGCCCTGCCAAAACACAAGAGGGGGGAGTTTGGCTGTGCTTCTCAGCTGATTCTACCCCGCAGGGCTGTTGTCAACCTTAATGAGAGAATGTATAAATATATGATGTGCTTACCTAGTCTCCCGCACACAGTGTTGGCTGGTATGACCTTATTCACTTCTCTTGACCCACCCCAAGAACTCTTTAAGTATTATGACAGTGACATTCCACTGTTAATGTGCAGCCATTCTAACCCCCATGTTTTTCCTTTCTTCCACAGAGATCTCATGTTTCCAGAACTCTGCCTAGAACTGGGACTGGTAGTGTGCGTGGAGCTGTTCCTGGAGCTGTGTTTGGAGCTATGCCCCGATATGCACCCAGAAGTGGAATCTGGGTTCAAGGATCCAGGATTACTGAGGTAATAGAGTGAAATTGTTCCAAGTATGGCAGTTGAGTCAGTCAGACTGACCTATGATTGAATTCTTGCTCCGCTACTTACTGGCTTTGTGATCTTGGGCTAATTCCTTAACATCCGTGAGCTTTTGTTTCCTCATCTACGATGGGTATAATATTAATATCTACCTCAAAGCGTTGCTTGTGAGGATTGAATAGACTCAGAAAAGTTAAAGACATTACTCAAGCTCACTCAGATAGTAAGCAGTAGGCCTGGAAATCTTACCCACATGTGTTGACCTCAAAACCCATGATTTTTCCATTATTCCAGTCTCTAAGATGTTCAACTTCTTTGTACCTGCCTCAACAGGGAGAAGGGTACATACGTAGTCTCCATAAAATGCAGCATGTACATAGGACAGTCCCTTACCTCCAGCTAATCATAACCATTGCTCAGTCAGACTCTTTTGGAGCTCTGATCTAGAAATGCTCCAGGGGGAGCTGGAGATATTGCCAGGGAGATAACCCTTAGCACCTACCTTCCTCCATCTCTCAGCTGTGGGTGGGATTATACCCAAAGATCCCTGTGTAAATGGGAAGGCCACACAAGGAGGAGACCCTTTTCCACTGGAGAGCTGATTATTTTGAATTTGGCAAAAGGTAACTGGGGTTTATTTCTGACATGTCTGCTTAAGATCCTATATCTCTCACTATGGTTTCCTTACTGTATATGGAAGTTCTCCTGGGTACATTAGCCGTGAAGGGTGGAGAAGCCAACACTGAGATGGTCTACAACAGTGCTGATCTAGTGGTTGTAAAGCAGCCCCTAGCTCAGGGGACTGTTGCCCTCTTGCACTGCAGCAGGAAAAGTTGCTTCCGTGAACTTTCCAGTCTCCAATTTTAAACATTAACACCAGCTTTCACTTGTCTCCACAGCTACACTCCCTTGCCATCCAGTGGCAAAAATCTAGGCATACATGACCAAGTGCCACAGGGTTATTTCTCATATTCAGAAAGGGGAAACCTGTTTCCTGGACTCCTCTCTCCCTCCCTCATCCCTTAGTCCCAGCAACAGAGAGACTCTTATAGCAGAGATATTCCTTTAAAAAAAAAAAAGATGATTTTTTGGTGAAAATTAAAGGAAAAGATTCCAGGAGCATTTCCTCTCACAGCGAAGGGGGTGGGGAAAGCCACAATAGCCCAAAGGCAAGTTTTCTTAAAAGTCTTGCTTGGGCCTACACCTCACACACTTGGCCTGCTCCCTTAGTCTCTCCCCTGGGAAACAGGGCTGAAGACAGCATAGGATGTTCACAGATCCTGAGTCATCCACAACCGGATTGACCTTTGCCTGGGAAATTTCCCTTAAGTGCCAAGGTAACAATCCTAAGTGACAGCGGAGTTGATAGCAATAAGTCAAATGTCCTGACACGCAGTGCTGCATAGAAACTGGGGCAAGAATGGAATTGGCCAATGGCTGGGTCCCTTGAAGGGCCAGGATTCTTAATGGATTAAGTGACATTCAGAGCAACTGGGAGATTGTGGGAGAGGAAATCCAGGTATACAGTTCTGTTAGAAATACTGAGACTAAGCCAGTTTTTCTCCCCTGCCAAATTTTCACCTGCTGTCCTATCCGAAGTGTTTGGAATGTGAATGCCTAGATTACTCTCCAAGACATTTCATGTTCTTTTTTTTTGAGGACACATAGATAAGAAGATGTCATAGCAGATTATTAGTATCTTCCTATTGTTGAATCAAACGGAATTCAATAATTTAAGAAACTGAGACTGCAAAGCACTTTTTCTTACTGCTCACAGGCCTGGCTCTCCTTCTGCAGCCCTTCTTAAAGAAGCAAGCACATCATCTCTTCTGGTTGTTGCCTTTAAATGTCCTGAACTTGAGTATGGGACATCCTCTTCCCGGCCCATATAGTTAGGAGATAGGAGTATATGGTGGTTAAGAACATGGGCTATGAAGACAAGCAGACCTTTCAAATGCTTGCTCTGCCATTGTGAGAATTAGGGCTAGTTATGTCATGTCTCGGACCTGGTTTTCCCCATCTGTAAAATGGAGGCCACAAGAGCAAATGCTTTAAAGAACTGTTGTAAGATTCAAATGAACTACATCTATGGAAAGCACCCCTTGCCTGGCAGGGAGAAAGATCTCAAATCAGTAACCTAACTCTCCACCTTAAGGAACTAGAAAGAGAAGAGCAAACTAAACCCAAAGCTAGCAAAAGGAAGGAAATAATAATAAAGATTAAAGCAGAGTAAAGCCCTCAGTAAAAGTTAGTTGTCATTATGGTAGTTATCATTATTAGAATTGGGCTTGGGGATGCTTAACCCCCAAGGCCTCTCCTCAAGATCCCCCAATGAGGCCTGGTAATAATAAGAGGGCACCTTAGACACTGGGCAGAAGTACCCTCGGGGCAGAATCTTTGCAAACCCTCATTGTGGCCCCTTTTCTTTGGCTTTGTGAGTTTGAAGGCCATCTGCCCTGAGCAGGAGCAGAGGCTCTGACAGAAGCAAGCATGTCAGCTCCATGACAGCAGGGATTTTGTTTTATTCATTGCTGTAGGCCTAGCGCCTGGAATGGGTGTGGCACATTGTAGATGCTTAGCCGGTTAAAGATAAAATCAGGGATTCTGATCCACATCAAGAGGACCATGGCAGGGACCAGTGCCTCAAATTCAAGTGTACCATGAGCTTCAAACTAATTAACTAAATTAGTCTGCTGAAGCCCAAGGAAAACCCAAATGATCAATTTTATCCCCTTAGGAAAACTAGTAAAGCAATTCCAACCAGGACTAGTTCTGTAGATTTTCTGAAAATCAACCTTGACAGGATTAAGATATGCAACCAACACAGTCAAGATCCTATCCAGATAATTCCTGGACTGATAGGAGCAAGGATTGTAGTTTGGATGCCAAGCCCAGATCATAACCCAAAGACTCACCTCCATAAGAACTGGATTTCCAAAGACAAGGCTGAAATCAATACCAAGATCAGACTCAAACAAGATTTATAGTTAGCATCAGTAGGGAGATAACACCAGAATTCTGGTTTTGATCAAATAAGCAATTTGAAGTTTCTGTCTGTGTTTGGGGATTGGCAAGGGTGTGTGGCAGCCCAGAGTGTGAACAAAGGCTATGGTTTTGTGTAGGTACTAGAAGTGAAGACAGGGAGGTAGAAGATTCTTTCCTTGACTTGTTTTTTTCGCTTTGAGTTCTTAGTCCTTCAACCATTAAGCAACAAGAGAACACCAATAATTTGGAGGAAAGCACACAAGTTTTAACTTGTTCCTTCCATCCTCCTCCTTGACAGATCCCACCACTGCGCCCACGCCAACCCAGCATCAGCCCACCTCTTATCCCATCTCACTCAATCTCTAAGGACTTTGAAGAAATCTCTGCTGATGATGAGTCATCTAAGAGCCCAAAAAAGAAGGCTTCACCACACAAGATTTTGACATTGAAGAAGGTGAGTGTTAGTCCCATCCTAAGTGGCAGGTTGTGGGCAGGGGGCACAAGTCAGAGACATAATTTCTTCTTGCACTCTCTTTTCTCCTGCTGTAGCTCAATGCTAGGAGCTGCCATCTTGGCTTTTTATGTGCATGGCGGTTTACATTTTTCTGTCCAAATCTATAAACCAAATAATCAGCACTTTAATTTATAAGCAATGGAAGACAGTGTTTCAGAAAAAAATAATAGTTTGCAGATGTTTTCAGTTATTTCAGGAAGAAAACCATAGAGATTTTTATGGAAGTAAAGCCTCTACGGTTTCACATGCCAAAATCTCAAAGATTAGTGCATGTAATATTGTTTGATAAACACATATCCATATGAAAAATCATTTGACACATGAGAGGGCATGTATGTGTATTTCGTACATCTAAGTTTGTCAACCAAATAATATCCATTAACAATTGGAAAATTAGGAGCCAGACCTGATAGTTAAAGTTTGGTGCACTCTGCTTCGGTGGCCCAGGTTCGGTTCCAGGGTGCAGAAGCACACCACCCGTCTGTCAGTAGCTGTGCTATTGTGGCGGCTCAAATAGAAGAACTAGAAGGACTTACAACTCTAATATATAACTATGTAGTGGGGCTTTGGGGAGGGAAAAAAAAGAGAGAGAGGATGATTGGCAACAGATGTCAGCTCAGGGTGAATCTTTCCCAGCAAAAAAAAAATTGGAAAATTAGTAGATTGTGCCCATATCAACACTTCCATTCTCAAACTAATGTGTAGTTAATTTAATTGGTTATTGAATTTAAGAGAGCTTTTGAAGTGAAGTACAGTTTACAGCAATTAACCTTGGGAACTGAAAAGTAAACAGAAACGTAATTTATAACGACAATAATTGGCCAGTCAGCACAAAACTCTGTTTTGATATTAAGAGTTCCTGTGGAGAGAAGCAGCCTTCAGTTAAATATGTCAACAAAAAAACTAGTAGGTTAGGACCAAAGTTAAATCACAAGCTTTGGCAGGTGGCAGGTGGGTGGATGCTCACTGATTTATGGATTTAGGCTATAACTATAGGCATTTTCTGCAAAATACCACTAAATCAGATGAATTGGAACAGTCTGAATTGGTGGAAAGATTGAATTAGATAACATTTTTTTATTGTGGTAAAATAATCATAACATAAAATTTATTGTGTTATAGTATACAATTCAGTGGCATTAAGTACATTCACAATGTTGTACAACCATCACCACTGTCTAGTTCCAGGATAGTTTTGGTTCCCCCAAACATATGCCCCATACCGATTAAGCAGTTACTCATCATTCTTCTCTCCTTCAGCCCCTGGCAACCACTAATATGCTTTCTATCTCTGGATTTGCCTATTCTAGATACTTCATATAAATGTAATCATACAATATGTGGCCTTTTATGTCTGGCCTCTTTCACATAGCATGATGTTGTTGCGTCTCATCCATGTTGTAGCATGAATCAGTATGTCAATCTGTTTTATGGCTGAATAATACTCCATTGTATGGATGTACCGTGTTTTGTTTAGCTATTCATCCAT